TGTTTTTGTGCTATACAGTGAATAAAAGGTAAATACATCAGTATTGCAAAACCACAGGCACAAGACATGTCTTTGTAGGAAAGTGGGACAGAAGTTGGAATTACTGGAAATATGCTTCAACTGTAACGGCTTCCTGATAGCGAGACCAGACATGAACACACAGTGTAAATATACTCCAGACACCATTCACAATTACTTCCTTATTCTACCAAAACCAAAGTCATACAAATCTGGGATAAGAAGGAAGAAAGGTGGGATTTGCTCAAGTAAAGTTCAACACGCTTGGATGGACTTTCTGACATTCCCATTTGAATGTGTCCAGTCTTTGTCGCACACATCTCGGGGATTTGACATTGTCTGAGACATTCTCCTCCAACAGACGTGAAAATCCTCTCACACACCCACTATAATCACAAACACACCCTTTGGTGTGAACACGGTCGCGTCATGAGCGGCTGACTACACCTGTACACAGACCTGATTCTGAATCAAATCACAGCATGTACTCGACACACACACACACACACAATGTGATTACTTGTTTACATGAAGAATCACAGTGTATATTATTATTGTTTCCAAACCAAACCGCTCAGGTTAAGCAGATGTGGTTTGCAAAGCACTGAAAAGGAAGTAGCACGTCGTAACACGCTTCACACAGGTGACGATATTTAAGTGACATGCACAGAGAAAAACACTGATAATATATGTGAGGTGTGTGTGGGCATGAGCCACACGTTATCCTGGTTTTACTGATAGTGATCGACAAAAAAAAAAGGCATTGACATCTTTGTCTACAGTCCAAATGTAGCACAGATTGCATACCGTGATGCACAAATACACCTGGAGCGCGCAGTGATGGTCACATGATCCAGATTTATGTATCGTGATGTTTGAAAGTTATTTCAAAAAGTGACGTGATGATGCATTTACAGAATAGTAGCATGCACATTGTATTTGTTTAATGCATGCATGCATATTTTGTCATCAGCAGATCTATACGGGTTAGTGCTACTTCTATCACTAATTACACTTAATGATCACTGTTTATGTAGAGTGATGCATTTCGTTTTATGGCATGTCATTAAACGTGTTTTATTGCAGCACACAGGGAGTGTACATGTATTTACACGGGAAATACAACCAAGCCTTAATCATATAGTCGAGCTGGTCAATAATGGTATAATCAGTTGTTCACTATCGCAACTGTTTCATGCCGACTTTGAAGTCCTCGTGCAATCAAAATTGAAGATTTTTTTTTTTTTTGACTTGTAGTATGAATATATCAGTCTTAGGGTTCTCTCTAAGCTAGTTTGCTCAAATACAGGGCCGGCCCGTGGCATAGGCGGTATAGGCAAATGCTAAGGGCGCTACCACTCAAGGGGCGTCAAAATGAGTGAACGAGTGAATTTTTTTTATTTTTTATTTTTATATTAATACTATTTTAAAACCATTATTTAGAAATACTACAAGATAAAGCAAAACAACTCCACAAAAACTCCCCCGACTCCAGTCCGGTGCATCAATCTCCCCCCGCCCAGTGAGTGCTTGAAGTGCGCCAGAAACAGAGCGAGCGCGATCAGTTTACTGTTGGTAATTTGTTGTTTAGCGTCGCCTCTCGCCACATCCAATGTAGACAACATTGCTTTCGTTTGAGGGCGCTTACAGTTTCCTCATTGTGACGGATGGCCGAATTTTCTTGACACATTTAAATTAGCATTATAGCCCGCTGCGATAGATACAGTGCCAAAAAGAAGAGGATACAAGGGGATAAAGACAGAGGTAAAGTGATGTAATGAACAAACAGTTTATCTAATTGCATAGTATTAAGATGCTATAATTTAATGGCAGTTATTTTTACCTTATAACTTTATGCTAACAGTAGTTCTGAGTTCTTCAGAGCCCCCAGACAATGCGATTTGTAACAAACATGTCAGTCTTTTTTAGACGCATACTGTCACTTTTATTATTTAATGTTTTACTATACAGTTGGGATATGACATTTTTTATTTATTTGCCAAAATTAATAACGATATTTATAGGCTACAGGTTTATTAAAAGTAGCTACCAATGTTTCATGTACAATTCACTTTAAAGACATTTAGCAGTTTCATTCATGTTGAAAACATGAAACGTGCCATAATTTAGTGGAAGATTGCTGCCATCAACTCCCAAACAAACACTTTTGCTAGTGCTCAATGAATAGTTTGTGCATGAATGACAGTGTTGTAGTACTCGAGACTCGGACTCGTCTCGGACTCGGTCTCGAGGCCATATTTTAATGGTCTTGGTCTTGTCATGGACTCGTCTTGTCATGGAATTGACTCGTACTCGAACATTTTTTTTTTTTAGGTCTCGGACTTATTCCCGAGTCCACTCGAGTTCAATTCAAAATATTTTTCATGATTATTAATGTATGTTAATAAAATATTTCTTTAAATTGATTGACACGCCCAGTGATTGGTGATTTTCTAGTGTGCAACTGCGCATGACAAATTGTAATAAAATTACTTTTAACACCACCTACTATGTGGCCTTTTTACCCTAAACTGATCATATTTTTTAAACTCTAAGTAAATTCAGTTAAAAAAAGAAAGGATAAAAAATAAAAGTAAATTAGGTAATCAACCCTCACTGGTCTCAGTCTCGACTCGGATTCGACTCTCTATGGACTCGGTCTTGACTCGGACTCGACTCTCTATGGACTCGGTCTTGACTCGGACTCGACTCTCTATGGACTCGGTCTTGACTCTCTATGGACTCGGTCTTGACTCGGACTCGACTCTCTCTGGTCTCGGTCTTGACTCGGACTCGACTCTCTCTGGTCTCGGTCTTGACTCGGACTCGACTCTCTCTGGTCTCGGTCTCGACTCGGACTCGACTCTCTCTGGACTCGGTCTCGACTCGGACTCGACTCTCTCTGGTCTCGGTCTCGACTCGGACTCGACTCTCTCAGGACTCGGTCTTGACTCGGACTCAACTCTCTCTGGTCTCGGTCTTGACTCGGTCTTGACTCTCTCTGGACTCGGTCTCGACTCGGACTCGACTCTCTCTGGTCTCGGTCTCGACTCGGACTCGACTCTCTCTGGACTCGGTCTTGACTCGGACTCGACTCTCTCTGGTCTCGGTCTTGACTCGGACTCGACTCTCTCTGGACTCGGTCTTGACTCGGACTCGACTCTCTCTGGACTCGGTCTTGACTCGGACTCGACTCTCTCTGGTCTCGGTCTTGACTCGGACTCGACTCTCTCTGGACTCGGTCTCGACTCGGACTCGACTCTCACTGGTCTCGGTCTTGACTCGGACTCGACTCTCTCTGGACTCGGTCTTGACTCGGACTCGACTCTCTCTGGACTCGGTCTTGACTCGGACTCGACTCTCTCTGGTCTCGGTCTTGACTCGGACTCGACTCTCTCTGGACTCAGTCTTGACTCGGACTCGACTCTCTATGGACTCGGTCTTGACTCGGACTCGACTCTCTCTGGACTCGGTCTTGACTCGGACTCGACTCTCTCTGGACTCGGACTCGACTCTCTCTGGTCTCGGTCTAGACTCGGACTCGAGTGAGGTGGTCTAACACTGATGAATGACATTTGGAACATGACATCACTGTTTTATTTAGAGCAGCTATATATAAATGAAATAATTTTTTAAATTACATTTAAAACAATTTTTAATTACAACAAAATAAACCATCACTGAACATACTTGAGCTTGATTATGACATTATTTTCTTAGATCTGCTGTACAGGAGAAGCAAACTTTGTTACATTATTTTCCTGTTATTACTGTAAAACTGCTTGAAATAGTCTGTATTGTAGGCATATATATATATGACTAAATAATCACCAACACAAATGATGGGGTGAAATGGGCTGTAATGCATGGGGGCGCCAGGTAAAATCTTACCTAGGGCAGCAAATTGGTCAGGGCCGGCCCTGCTCAAATACATTGACAAAATTCGCATTTAGAAGATATAGGCCTACATGTTCAAAACTTAATCTCTCACTTCTGCCAATATGGATCAATGGTTTTGATCTTCTCATCAGATTTTCTGTCCAATCAAATGCTCTCTAGAATCTGAAGCCCCGCCCCTTAAATTATAAGCTGCTCTCAGACAATTATTCGCACATTTCCTATTTTCTACATGGTGATACACTATATAGGGGACAGGGAACGATTCAGACAGTGTAAAATTGCTTTCCATTGGGGTTAATGAAGTCTGAACCCCCTCACTCCCACTCCCTCCCTCACACACACACACACACACACACACACACACACACACACACACACACACACAATGTCCCGCCCTGTATTCCTTATTCATTGGAAATCACACAACACACTGAATATGCCACACTTCAGTGGTCTGAAACGCTTTATCTCCACACCTGGTCACACTCGTGTGTCTATTTTTGTTTTGTTTGTGTTTAATCCTGAAGACCTTGCTTGGCTTGTTCGGGTGTTTGATTTGAGTTGAAACTAAAGTCTGTAAAGACCAGAGTTGAGAAACCTCATTGTAGGTTGAGCAGTTTCAACACCCTAAGGGCTTGGAAAGATGGGATATAGTCATGTAGTTGGATTTATCACTGGAAAAAAATAGCTATCAAGAATTATTTGTTTCATTGTGTAATAATCAGTAGGCCTAAGCTTTCAAAAAAAAAAATCAGGCAAAAGACAAAAATATATAAATAAATAAAGGAATTAAATACATAAGAGAGGGAAATGGACTGATATACAAGCATTTGACTTAAATCGATTTTCTTTCCAAATGAATGAAAACACTGAACATTTTCATGTCTTCAGTAAAACATTCAAAAAGTTGTTAAATAAAAACGAATAAAGTTCTCTTAACACTGATACTGGACTGTATATATCTACAGTGAATACGAATAACGTAATTGAAGCTAACCAGCTCTCTCAACATCTCTGTCGCTGTCATCAGGGATTTTTAATAATAATTAACAGACACAGATAAGACATGAATCTACTCTTACCTTCATGTGGCTGAAACATCCACGAGAGAAAGCGAAGTTTATTCGTTCCCTTCTCAGTTCCTCCACAGGTGGTTTCAGTGTTTCCTGATCCTCTCGATAGCCAACATAGTTCTCTGACTCTTTTTACACACTCAGCACCCGCATGTCTCTGCGTGTCTCTCTCTCTCTCTCTCTCTCTCTCTCTCTAAACATGGAGAGGTGGAGTTTCTCTTGCCTTTGCCTTCACCGTATCTTATCATTTGATCTGTCTTAAGATATTGCGAAACATGTCAGTGACTCCCCCTGAATCAGCATCCTGCGCTCATACAGAGGGTTCGTACAAACGTGTGTTAGTTTGTTTAATAATTTAGTCAGCATTTAATTGCATTTTTGTTCTACAAAACTCTCTAGTTATACATTCATGGTGTCGATAGCACACTTGAGTAGGTTTTATTTTAAAAATAAAATGGTTTCAGCTGAAATGACCCGTTGTTCTTGTTTTATAATTGGCCCATTTGAACTGAATGTTGTTGCCGTGGTTTAAGAAGGCACAGTCCTGCTTTACTCGAACTCTCATCATTTTAAAATAATTACACTTTTTCACATTTAAAATGCATTTATTTATACTTAAGAGGCCCACGCTAATTCATAAAAATATCATTAGATCTCATACGTAGCTTATATGCCACATAGCAACATTGTGTCGGCTCACATCTGGCACTCGTGGAATGTGGATCTGGCCAGATCAGTGTGGAATGACGGCCCTTGGGCGGGCCGCTCCTGTTTGCCAGATCTGGGCCACAAGCAGGCCATAATAATGCCACATGTGAGAGATCTGAGAGACACAAAGTGTGTGTATATTAAATATCGAGTCATCTCAGCCTTAATAAGCCTGTTAACAAGCAGAATCACTGAAAGAGACGAGCAGAAACACGAGAACTACTGCTGACTTCAGACACAGCCTTAGATTAAATCAACTGAAGAGAAAGGAAGAGATTATATCTCTAAAGATTAGGATTCAACAACTCAAACAGCATTATCAGCTTCACTTATTACTAACCAGACTGATTTTATTTCTGTCAGACATCTACAGAAGATTTTATTGAGAATTAACAGAGATTGAAGTCACCATTACAGTGATCAGTGTTTCCATTAATTGCGCTCTCAACTCTTTTTTTACATTTTTTGTCTTTTCTCTGCTGTGGCAGTGTGTTTGTCAAACACATTTGCTGCAGTGAAGAAAGCTAAAGTGAGATGAGATGAGATGATGATGTTGGGGGTTTAATAATCATCATGACATTGACTGATTGTCATAAATAAACATGTCAGGAAAATGTAATGGGGTTTCTAATCAAGATATGACTTTGTTGCAAAAGAGGACATCAGGACTTGCAGCATGTTTATCAGGGATTGTGGGAGACACGAGTGATTGGGGAAAGAAATGGTACACCAATATCCTATGAAATGTTAGATATTATTATAAAAATGTTGCCATTTTTTAACTTATATGATTTTTTTATTTTATTTTTTAATATGTTGACCCCAGAAAACATTAATATGCTAATTGGATCAAGTCTATACATTGTATTAAAAGAGTATAAAAAAATGGGTATCAATTAATTAATCTTTCATAACAGAGTTGAAAATCTACGGAGGCGTATTGCATTCACTTGAAGAAAAAAAATCTACTCTGTTTTTCTGAATTAACGAGTTAATTTTTCATGAGAAAAATTTTTTTTGCTCTGTTTTTCTGAATTAACGAGTTAATTTTTCATGAGAAAAAAAAAGTTTTTGCTCTGTTTTTCTAAATTAATGAGTTAATTTTTCATGAGAAAAAAAGTTTTTGCTCTGTTTTTCTGAATTAATGAGTTCATTTTTCATGAGAAAATTTTTTTGCTGTTTTTCTGAATTAATGTACCGAAGCCCTGAAACGCAACCTAAAAAAAAAAAAAAGTCAGTAAAAAAAAAAAAATCTTTAAAAAAAAAAATCTGTAAAAAAAAAAAAAAAAATCTAGCATTTCGAGATTAAAGTCGAAATGTTTCGAGATTAAAGTCGAAATGTTTCGAGATTAAAGTCGGAATGTTTTGAGATTAAAGTCGAAACATTGTGCATTCATAACAGTGCGCGTCCACTGGCTCAGAGCGCGCGCGTGAAATCGAACTGCCATGGATAAACACAAAATAGTAGCTTTTTACTTTTATCTGAATTACTTATCTTACTTTATCATTATAAAATATAATGCGCCGGAATAGACTTTAGCCTATAGGAAAACCAACACGGAAAACACTTTTCAGACTGGATGGAGAAATCCAGCTTTATGAATGAATGAATGAATGAATGAATAGGGCATTTATATAGCGCTTTATATGCCTACACTCAAAGTGTTTTACAATCATATCAGAGAATCTCTCCTCAACCATAAGTGGTTATTAAATCTTAGGAAATCACAGGATCCGGCCAAATGATTGAATACAGAATGATGCACTTAAAATGTATCCAGAGCGTATTTACGGTGAAGAGGGAGACCGAACAGCTACTGTTGTGTTCTCGATCTCGACCCAGATAGTGTTGACTAGACGAGCACGAAAACACCTCAGAAACACTGACACTAGCGCGTGTGACGTGTGTAGAATTTTGTTGAAAGCCCAGATAAAAGTAAAAAGCTACTATTTTGTGTTTATCCATGGCAGTTCGACTTCACACACACACACACACACACACACACACACGCGCGCTCTGAGCCAGTGGACGCGCACTGTTATGAATGCACAATGTTTCGACTTTAATCTCGAAACATTTCGACTTTAATCTCAAAACATTTCGAATTTAATCTCGAAACATTCCGACTTTAATCTCGAAACATTTCGACTTTAATCTCGAAACATTTCGACTTTAATCTCGAAACATTTCGACTTTAATCTCGAAACATTTCGACTTTAATCTCGAAATGCTAGATTTTTTTTTTTTTTTTTACAGTTTTTTTTTTTTGTACTGATTTTTTTTTTTTTTTTAGGTTGCGGTTCAGGGCTTCCGTATTAATGAGTTAGTTTTTCTTGAGAAAAAAAGTTTTTGATTAATTCAGAAAAGCAGAGCAAAAAAAAAAATTCCATTAAAAATTAACTCATTAATTCAGAAAAACAGAGCAAACATTTTTTTTCTCATGAAAAATTAACTCGTTAATTCAGAAAAACAGAGTAGATTTTTTTCTTCAAGTGAATGCACTACGCCTCCGTAAGAATCATATTGTACAAAGATTGTAAAAAAAACCCTGAAACCTAAAAATTGATTTCTCACTGTTCTTGTCTGAACATGTCATTTCATTTGTATTCATTGTGTAAAATACTGAGCTGTTGTCCTCTACAGAGGACATAGAATTACATATGAATGAAATATTCCCCCCTTTCTGCTTCTCAGGGGAATATTGTGTTTGAATTGTAAGATTTTTTATATATATATATATATATAATTAATGGGATAAATCTGATTTCAGTTGGTCTTTCTTTATCATGAATCCTTTCCAGTCAACGGTAGTGTGATGATCAGGTTTCCTGTCAGGTTTGTTTGTATCGGGGTAAAGTCGGTTTATGAGGGTGAGATGATGAGAGTTGTGGTGGTATATGAGTGGGTCTGAGTGCAGTTTTAATGGATATTATTTTTTAAAACAAAATTATTTACACTAAACAGGATCGATATGTGAAAGGTGACTCAGTGTGGCCTGTCTAAAGCATGCCTGCTTGGGAAATGATATTTCTAAGGAAATCTATCCTGCAGTACATCCTTACTGGAAATTGTGATTCTTTTCTCGCTCTTGGTAAATTGCAAGACACGAATGTTTCATGTCATGACAGATGTTAAAAACCACAAAAAGAAATCAACATGCATCATGTCCATCCTGGAGATCAATGACACTGTTTCCCAGGGAATGTAATGGAAGACTGGAAGAAGAAGAAAAAAAAGTTGATTCATTAAAACATTCAAGTTGATTGTACTTAAAAATTTAAGTAATTAAATTACAACCGATGTGTAGAAAAACACACGTTGTCATAACTTATTGATCATAATTGTTTTTACAGTGTAAATACCCATAATATGTTGCAGTTATATCCTGTATTTAAAGATGCACCCTGTTTTTGTTCTTTGTGCTGGATTAAACTAAAAACCAAAGGATCCCTTTTGCTTTGGCTTGTTCCTCTCTTGCTTTTGTCCACTCATAAATGATCAGTGACTGACTAATAACTATAGTAACTAATGTGTATTTATACAGCACCTTTCACAGACAAGGAAGTGCCCCACAAAGTGTTTTAAAGTGAAAAATTCAAATAATAATAATGATATCAAAACAAATCAAACTTGATCAAACACCATAGAAATGCAATAAATGCTTAACCATATTGTTCATTAAAAGATTGCTCAAAAAAGATGTGTTCAGGGTTTTTTTTTTTTTTAAATATTCCACAGAAGCCATAGTTCGCAATTCTGAAGGAATATATTAACTATAAATAAATAACACTTCACAGCAAAGGTACACTTTAATTATTTGGCTGCAGTCGCTGTTTGGATTAAAACAGGCAAATGCTTAAGTGTCAATGATTGGATCATTATTGCAGTGAAATGTTTCTATACATTTGTGAGTGTGTCACTGTAACAGTACCAGATTCAATCAGCAGCCAATCACACACACTGATCACACACTCCTGATGCCGGTGTGTGTATATATGTATATGGGCGCCATCTCCTGGACAGAGTTCACATAACATATCAGTACATGTCCACAGCATCACAGTCTACAGTCAGATCATAGACATCCAACCCGATCTCACGGGAATTTGTACGAATTTTACGAGGTGGCTAATTCGTAACAATTCATACGACCTCACTCGTATGAATTAGACCGATTTGTGAAAAATCGTACATATTTTACGAATTGGCCAATTCATATGAATTCGTACGAATGACCTACACCTGACCCCGCCCCTAAACCCAACCATCACGTGGGTTTAGACAAATCGTACGAATTCGTACGAGTGAGGTCGTATGAATTAGTACGAATTAGTCATTTTTTAATCATTCGCACGAATTCGTATGAATTGGTCGTGAGATAGGGTAGCAGGACTGATCTTAGACAAACCAGACACAAAAGTTCAAAAGAAAAATATTAATAGCCAAATAAATATTTA